AACTTAATATTTAAAAAAAAAAAAAAAAAAAAAAGAGTCTGTCTCTTGGTTTGCCTCTCTCTCTTCCCCACTCCCACCAATGTTCATTTGCTTTGTTTCTTCAATTCCACATATGAGTGAAATGATATGGTATTTGTCTTTCTCTAATGGACTCATTTTGTTTGGCTTAATACTCTCTAGCTCCATCCATGTTGTTGCAAATGGAAAGATTTCATTATTTTATGGCTGGGTAATATTCCTCTGTGTGTGTGTCTGTGTGTGTGTACACACACACACTTTATCCATTCATCAGTCGATGGACACTGGGCTCTTTCCATAATTTGGCTATTGTTGATAATGCTATAAATATTGGGATACATGTAGCCCTCTGAATCAGTATTTTTGTATACTTTGGGTTAGTACAAAGTACTAGATTGCCAGATCATAGGGTAGTCCTATTTTTAACTTTCTGAGGAAACACCATACTGTTTTCCAGAGTGGCTACACCAGTTTAGCACAGCATTTTTTAAAATTTTATTTTAATTAATTTAGAGGGAGAAAGCACATGTGCATGTGCAGGCACGTGAGTAGGGGAGGGGTAGAGAGACCACGACCTGAGCCGTAATCAAGAGTTGGACACCCAACTGACTAAGCCACCCAAGCACCCTAGGACAGTACTTTAAATGTATTTTCTCTTCCTTGTGATTTTCTTAGAAACATTTCATTTCTCTAGCTAACAATACCATGAGAACACAGTATTTAATACGCATAACATACAAAATATGTGTTAATTAACTGCTTATGTTATCAGCAAGGCTTCTGGCCAACAGGAGGTTATTAGTAGTTACGTTCTGGCAGAATCAAAAGTTACACATGGATTTTTAACTGTGTGGGTGGTCAGTGCCCCTAATCCCTATTCAAGAGTCAGCTGTACTATAATATTTAAAACCACATGGGGAGTCTGGATAGGTCAGTTGGTTAAGCATCTGACTCTGGTTTTGGCTCAGGTCATGATCTCACAGTTTGTGGATTCAAACTTTGCATCAGGTTATGTGCTGATGGTGCAGAGCCTGCTTGGGATTCTCTCTCTCAAACATTAAAAAAAAATTAAAATTACATATGGCTTGCATTCTATTTCTCTTAGCACTAAACAGTTTTGGCATTAAACTCTAAAACAAGTTAAATGTGCCAATACAGTACTCTGCAAGATACTGCATTTAATGTTGCACCTATTGAGAAAGGCCTGCCAACAGTGCTACTCTGAAACAATGTTCTAAATACTTAAATTATTCTATTAAACCAAACATACATAATAGCAGAGTAGGAGGGACTACTTACTATGATACTTATCGCCACATTATAATGCTGGTGGACAGTTATGTATTTAAATACTACCTAGCTGAGTCCCCTTCTAAGAGAGATTCTGTGATTTAGCACACTTTACAAAGTTAATTCCAGAAATTTATTAGGACATACGTATTTCTCACTCTGCACATACCTGTTCACTTTTGCAGAGCTTTTCTATATTAGGCTTGAATTTATTCATGCAATCTTCTGCTAAGTTAAGATGGACAACTTGCTGAAAAACAAATCAATCATTTAAAACATTTTCATTTCCATTTGAGCAACTGATAATACTAAACTTGTGAGATGGGCCTGAAGGAAATTATGGGCTTAGGCAGAAAGTAGGTACCATGTAAAACAAGGAAAATAGTTCAAGGAAAAGAAAAAAGTAAAAATTAACATGGTCTACAGGGGACAATCAACAGACAGCAAAAAAGAGAAGGGTTGAATATGTGTTGGGTTTAAGAGTAATGAAAAAGAAGCACAGAAAGAAAAATAGCTAAGTCCTTAAAGGTTGAATTTATATTATTGGTTCTTGATTAGGGTGCCATATGATAAAAAATGAGTTAAGATTATTCTGATAATGACTCATAAGAAAGACTGATAGAGCAAATAAATAAATAAATAAATAAATAAATAAATGTTTACCTTCCAACATGGCTTAGCTACTCTTACCTTCTAACATAACTATTAAAGAACCAAGTAGAATAACAACCACTGGTCAATCCAATATTAAATTTTCTTATTAAATTGATAACTACAAAATTCTCTGTCTGGCTGCTCAAGACAAAGGTATAAAAAGTTTACGCTGGATTTGGATGAATCTAGATTATATACAGAGAATACTACTGAGAAGCTTAAATATTTGGAGTATTTCCTAGACCTAGAGTAATATTTTAGAGGATAACTAACACCAACTATCCCATGACACCCACTACTAAACCTGACTGTAGAACTGGACAGTAATAAACTAAAAATGATAAGATATTTCATGTACAAATACTGGTTACTTACCTTAGTAATCTGTTTACGGAAGTGGGGCATCTTTTTCATCAGTTGTGCAAGAGCACTAAGTGATGTCTAGAAAAATATCAAACATTTTTAAAGCAAACTTATAATTTTGGTATTCTATATAACAGTTTTTAAATCCTGTAGTTTTATTAATTTTCTAAATATTTGGCAAATTAAAAAAATTCAAGAGGCTTCCAGTTTCAGTCATGATAAAGTAGCTAATATAAAAATTATTCTGCCTACAAAAAGAAAAGTAGAATTGGACAAAATAAATAAGACAACAGCTTTCAGACAATGGTCAAGAAAAATTGCTTACAGCTAAGATATGTAAGCAGAAGAAAGCACAGAAGGTGATCCCTACACTTACCCTAGCTTTTTCTTGGGACACTTTTGAAAACATGGTGGAAGCAAATAGAATTCAAGTAAAATCACTAATCTTTCCAGGCAGAGGAAAAAGAGGTCCGAGTTTGGGACTGGTGAGATAGGCTTTGGGGGAAGGGGGGGGGGGCAGGGTGCTAGAGAGAAAGAGCCAGTTACAACATAACTCAAAGATTTAACTCAAAAAGGGCTGCGTTTGGATTCCTGGTCAAACACTAACCTGTATATGTAAAGGGCAAAACTTTTAAAGGTCTAAGAGAGAGGGGAGCCTGGGTGGCTCAGCTGGTTAAGCATCCAACTTTGGCTCAAGCCAGGATCTCAGTTCATGGGTTTGAGCTATGCTTTGGGCTCTGTGCTGACAGCTCAGAGCCTGGAGCCTGCTTCACATTCTGTGTCTCCCCCTCTCTCTGCCCCTCCCCTGCTTGTGCTGTCTCTTTCAAAAATAAATAAAATATTAAGAAAAACTTAAAAAAAAAGGCACAGAACAACTGCTGGGTGGCTAAATGCTGAACAGAGATTTCAGAGGGGTCTTTGTGCTAAGAAAATACTGGCATTCCCTAATCCAAAGAAGACAATGTTAAGGAAACATCCCCAGAGATTCAGTTCTAGGACTATGTCTCTGAACTAAGGAAATATGCTCCCCATAACAGTGCCTGACATGAAGTCTCAACAGAATTAAGGTTATTCATCAGCAAATCAAATGCCTGCCAGAATAGAACTCAATACTCTTCCAGAAAAAACATCATCTAGAGCTGCTTCTGCAATATGTTATCTGTGATGTCTAACATACACTACAATATTACTGGACATATAAGACCAAAAAAAAGTAATTGATACTGAAGTGACAGTCAATAAAAGTAGACCCAAGACCAAGAAGATGTGATATATTTACACAATGGAATACTACTCAAATGTAAAAAAAGAATGACATCTTGCCATGTGCAACAACATGGATGGATCTAGAGGGTATAATGCTAGTGAAGTAAGTCAGAGAAGGACAAATATATGATTTCACTCATGTGGACTCTAAAAAACAAAACAAAAGAACAAAGAAGAGACAAACCAAAAACCAGACTCTTTTAACTACAGAGAACTGATGGTTACCAAAGAGGATGTGGGTAGAGGGATGGGTGAAATAGGTGAAGGGGATTAAGAGTACACTTATCGGGGCGCCTGGGTGGCTCAGTCAGTTAAGTGTCCAACTTCGGTTCAGGTCATGATCTCGTGGTCTGGGAGTTCGAGCTCCGCATCTGGCTCTGTGCTGACAGCTCAGAACCTGGAGCCTGCTTCAGATTCTGTGTCTCCCTCTCTCTTGGGCCCTCCCCCACTCATGCTCTGTCTCTCTCTGTTGCTCAAAAATGAATAAACAATAAGAGTACACTTATCATGATGAGCACTGAATCATATATGGAATCGCTGAATCACTATATTGTATACCTGAAACTAATAAAACACTGTATGTTAACTATACTGGGATCTAAAAAAAAAAAAAAAAGGTAGACCCAGGACGATCCAGATGTTGGAGTTAGCAGACAAGAAATTAAAAAATAACATATTTACGTTAAAGAAAACAAAGGAAATGAACTAAATGAATGAAAAGATACAGTTTTTCAATAGAAAGTTAGATTTTAAAAATTCAATGGGTGTCTCAGAATTAAATGCAATATTATAAATCAAAAACATAAATTATAAGTAGAACTACCCTATGACCCAGCAATAGCACTGCTAGGAATTTACCCAAGGGATACAGGAGTGCTGATGCCTAGGGGCACATGTACCTCAATGTTCATAGCAGCACTTTAAACAATAGTCAAATTATGGAAAGAGCTTAAATCTCTATCAACCGATGAATGGATAACGAAGATGTGGTTTACAGATACAATGGAATACTACTGGGCAATGAGAAAGAATGAAATCTGGCCATTTGCAGCAACGTAGAAAGAACTGGAGGGTATTATGCTAAGTGAAATAAGGCAGTCAGAGAAAGACAGATACATATGTTTTCACTCATATGTGGAACAGGAGAAACTTAACAGAAGACCATGGGGAAGGGGAAGCGGAAGGGGGAAAAAACTTACAGGGAGAGAGGGAAGCAAACCATAAGAAACTCTTAAATAAAGAAAACTGAGGGTTGATGGGGGTTGGGGAGAGGAGAAAGTGGGTGATGGGTATGAAGGAAGGCACTGTTGGGTTGAGCACTGGGTGCTGTATGAAAACCCATTTGACAATAAATTATATTAAAAAATAAATAAAACTGCTACTGACAAGCAAAAAAAAAAAAAGAAAAACATAGTGACTCCTTTACACTGCTGGAGGGACTATAAAATGGTACAGCCATAGTAGTTTGGAATTTTCTTATGAAGTTAAACAAACATTCACTATATGACCTAGCAATCTCACTCTTAATTTTTTTTTAATAAAAAAAATTTTTTTTAATGTTTTATTTATTTCTGAGAGAGAGAGAGAGAGAGAGACAGCATGAGCAGGGGATGGTCAGAGAGAGACACACAGAATGTGAAGCAGGCTCCAGGCTCTGAGCTAGCTGTCAGCAGAGACCAATACAAGGCCCGAACCCACAAACCGTGAGATCATGACCTGAGCCGAAGCCGGAAGCTCAGCTGACTGAGCCACCCAGGCACCCTCACTCTTAATTATTTACCCAAGGGAATGAAAACATCTTTTTACATAAAACCTGAATGTTTTATAGTGGCTTTATTCATAATTGCCAACAACTTGAAAAAAATTTCAACGTTCAGCAACTTGGGAATAGATAAAGATAAACACCATGGAACACTACTGAACATTAAAGTGGTAAAACCACTATTACATCCAACATGAATGCCAAGTGCATTATGGTAAGTGAGAAAAGTCATACTGTATTATCCCATTTAGATGACATTCTAGAAAAGGCAAAACTATAGACACAGAAAACAAATTAGTGGTTGCCAGGAGATAAGAGTTGTATAGAGAGGTTGTCGACAAAGAGACACAAGGGAATTTGGGGAGGTGGTGAAACTATTCTATAACTTGACTGTGGTTATATGATTGTATGAATTTGTTGAAACTAAGAGAATTTTATACTGTAGGGGGAAAACTTTACGAATCAATTTAAAAATAATACAGGGGCGCCTGGGTGGCTCAGTCGGTAAAGCGTCTGATTTCAGCTCAGGCCATGATCTCACAGTTCGTGGGTTTGAGCCCTGCATCGGGCTCTGTGCTGACAGCTAGCTCGGAACCTGGAGCCTGCTTCAGATTCTGTGTCTTCCTCTCTCTCTGACCTTCCCCTGCTCATGTTGTTTCTCTCTCTCTCAGAAATAAATAAAAAACATTAAAAAAAAATAATACGTACAATGGGTTTAACAGCAGACTGGACAGAAAACAGACAGAAATAGGAGACTCAAAGTAAAGTTAACAGAAAATATTCAATTAAAATAGGAAAATATGGGGGAAAAAAGAACAGAATGTAAAAGATGTAGAATGTGGTTTAAAAAAAATCCTCTAAAACACAAGTGAATGGGGGCGCCTGGGTGGCTCAGTCAGTTAAGCGTCCGACTTCGGCTCAGGTCATGATCTTACAGTTGGTGGGTTTGAGCCCCGCGTCAGGCTCTGTGCTGACAGCTAGCTCAGAGCCTGCAGCCTGCTTCAGATTCTATGTCTCCCCCTCTCTCTGACCCTCCCCTGCTCACGCTGTCTCTCTCTCTCAGAAATATATAAAACATTTAAAAAAATTTAAAACTTAAGTGAATGGAGTCCTAGAAGGAGCAGAGAAAGATTAGGAAAAACATGAGGAAATAATGACCAACAATTTTTACAAATATGATGAAAGTTATTACTCAGTGATTTAGGAAGCCCAACAAACCAAGGAAGATACATATTTTACACATTATATACAGTATACATAGTAGAGTAAGAAATATGATGGCTTGTTAAAAATCAAAGATAAAGGGAAATTCTTTAAAAAGCCACTTTATCTTTAGGAAGATAACATGACAGCTGATTTCTTTAACATAAAATATGGTAGCCAGAAGGTTATGTTTTGCAATCTTCACATTGCTGAAAGGAAAACTGCTAACCTTGAATTTTAAACATAGCAAAAGTTAGCTGAAAAGCTTGCAAAACAAAGATATCCTCAGATAAAATAAAAGTTGAGAGAATTCATCTAGCCCTTGAAAAACTGACTAGTTATAACTAACAATAGATCTCATAAATACGAGGGCAATATAAGTCTACTGAGAATTTAAATAATAACATCTTAAGTTTATAAGCACATGTTAAAGTAAAATACATGACAACAATAGCACAAAAGAGGAAGGGGGTAAATGTAGCTAAACTTTTATGAGGCTCTTGAATTATTCAGGACCTGGCAAAAGTATCCTTTAAGGTAAACTGTGAATAATGTAAGGATACATTTAGTAATACCCAACATAATGACTATAAGAAGGATACTAAAAAATAAAACAAATTTATATTAGAGATAAAATGGAATATTTTTTTTAAAAAGACAATATATAAAGGTGACAGAAAAGAAAAAGACAAAAGGATAAAACAAAGAAAAACAAACAAGATGGTAGACATAAACTCAACTATATCAATATTACATGAAATATTTATGGACTAAACATTCCAATTAGAAGACAAACATTGTTGGGGCAAATGGATGGCTCAGTTAGTTGAAGTTCTGGCTCTTGTTTTTGGCTCAGGTCATGATCTCACGGTTTTGTGGGTTCAAACCTCGCATCAAGCTCTGTGCTGACAACAGGGAGCCTGCTTGGGATTCTCTCTGTCCCTGACACTTCCCCACTTGTGTATGTGCACGTGTCCTCTCTCTGTCTCAAAATAAGTAAGTAAACTATTTTAAATGTATAAAGACTAGAAAGGGCCAGGCTAAATTTTCTTTATTCACAGATGATAATATTGTGTAATCTTTTGGAAAGATGGAAATGCTCTCTATTTTCAGATGGTGGTTCCAAATATATATATATATATATATATATATATGTAAAAAGTTGATCAATATACACTTAAGACTTGTGCACTTGGGTAAATCACACCTCAATATTAAAAAATCTAACAAGAAAGCATTGATGAAGTTGACCTAAATGACTTTTTATTTTTTAAAATATTTTTTATTTAGTTTTGAAAGTGAGAAGAAGAGAGACAGAGTGTTGAGCAGGAGAGGGGCAGAGAGAGGGAGAAACAGAATCCAAAGCAGGCTCCAGCCTCTGAGCTATCAGCACAGAACCTGACACGGGGACTGAACCCACGGACTGAGAGATCATGACCTGGGCCAAAATTGGACATTCAACTGACTGAGCCACCCAGGCACCCCAATGGCCTTTTAAAAATAAACTCAAATGAAATGACAGATAAAACATTGCTAACTATTGAGACTAGGTAATGGGTACATGGGAGTTCATTTTCTGTACTTCAGTGTATGTTAGAAATTTCCCAAAATGGAAAATTAAATAGTTAAAATAAAAATTTTAAACAAACTTTAAAATTCACCGTCATTAGTTTGAATGTTAAGTAAAACTCTTACCTTTCCTTCTGTTGCTTTCTTTGTTGATGAAATTTCCTTCATTAGTTTGGGAATTTCCCTGTTAAATTTGAGAAAATTATTTAGATTTCTAAGGTCTAACTCTTTACAGAAATACTTTAAGATTACAAAATGTATTTTCAGATACTTAGTACCTAAAAAATATGGAATAAGAATTAAAATGGTTTCACATACTCTAATACAACTGCAATATGCCGATGTCGAATTCTGACCCAGAGGTCATCATCTTCTTCAAGGACAGCCTCCTTTTCTTTCCCATCTGTTTTGTATCTACAAGAAGACAAAAATATAAAGCTTTAGAATTATCTCCCACCTAAAGTGGAAGAAACATTTTTACAAACAACAGTTCTAAGACATAGGTCAAGAAACTGAACAATACATATATTCAATCTGTTATTTTAGGAGGATAATGAATATCTACTCAAAACTAAGGCATATTGGTATCCTTACATTCAAAATCAAAGTGCTATGTCTACCAAGACGTTTCTGCTTTCAAATGTTAGACTCAATTATATTATAGTTTTAGCTCAGCAAAATGGTATTTTATGAAATATTCAACATTCTACAATCGACTCTAAGAACAAGACTGAATTTATATTAACAATGTGTTCTAATTGCTTAAAATACTATTTATGTGTTAATAACCATCAGTACGACTATTAAACACCTGTTAAATGTCACCCCCAATGTAGCCTATTAAATACTGAAGGTGTTTCAGAGTTTACATTTTCACAAACATGCATCCAAGTATATAAATTCATAAACATGTATCATGTTTCTATATTCTTCCCTAATCCTATAGTCACATCTCCAATGAAGAATGAGAAAGGAAATGAGAGAAAAACTAACGCAGTCATAAAAATCTTTGATTCCCTTAATGAGTCCTACAGAGGCGAGCGGCAATTCAAGAGGCTCATGAAATTACTCAAAATGGGCTTCTGGACTGCCTCCCCAAATAGAAGATCTCCCTTCTTTTTTAATGCAGATAGCCTCCTTCTGTAGACCTAGGGAGATTCAATCATCCTTGGAACTGTCGATTTCCTGAGCCAAGATTAGGAAGGACAGCTTTGAACTTTCCCAGCTCTAGATTCCAGATAATAAATGTAGATTTTTACTGTATGAATATAATCCTACTTCCATAGCTTCAAAAATTACAGGTCCCACCTATAAAGCCATTTACCTAGGTAGTCTTAATTGCAGATACCCAAAGGTAGAATGACTGTGCTTAATCAGAAGACACATTAAGGACAGAACAGCCTATCTGCCACTTAAAACGTCACTCTGTACTTTCATAATACCTTTAATCTGTGATTTATAAAGATTAAGACAGCAACCCTGACAATACTAAAAGATGATGACAACTTCATTTTAAGAGTACATTTAAAGAAATTACCAATATAAAAAAATATAAATTTCCTGCTTCGTACCGTCTCTGTTAACAACTGTAATGGAGCACAAACCATAGGGAATTCAAACTTTCATCTCATCTCATCCCTGGACTTTTCTGACTCATGAAAAGGAGTAACAATGGCTTTTTTTTTTTTTTAAATAGGTCTCTCCCTTACTCTTAAAAAAATTAAAACTTTCTTAATTTTTAAATATTTTAAATACTAGGTTAGAACTGCCTGAAATGTCTGGAGCCAAGTCCTTCATCGTCTATTAGTTTCACTCCTTTCTAATCTCTGGAGCAGTGCAGGTTTACAGACCTAACAGGACAAGAGAGGTAAACAGTATTACTCTCTTCTGAAAATTCTCAATAAACTATTTGAAACTACCTTTATATTAGAAAAATAAGCTATATTGATTTCTCTACGTCATCAGATGTAATATAAATTACAGGAGAGAAATTCAGAAGCCAGGATTTGACCAGAATGCAAATAAGCGTACAATAGAAAATACATAAATACTTACAATAGAGAAAAGATCTTTTTAATTTATTACAATTATTGAATTTAAACAAAATTTCAGAAAACTAATTCTCATTTTTACTACTATGCTCAAGTAGTAAATCTTAGCTGAAAAATGCCAATTTGGACTTAGAGGTTATGATATCAAATAACACATAATATATATGGCTGTATGTACATATATATACACTCATAATGACTCACAAAAATACAGTAAAATTGTTCCCTAATAGAAAAATTATTTCACTTTTCATTTAGCTATTTGACCTTACTTTTAAAGTATATATGCTTATATCAGAGTTAAGTCAATAGGCACCAAATCAGCAAGACTATGTCCATTCTCAAGAGCTATCCTATTCAGTTTTCCAGCCTTCTAATCTTCTTAAAGATATTTTATTGACAAGACATACACACAGATACCTCTGGGTGTGTGATTCAGAATAATTATAGCCTAAAAAGTTTGAATATGGTTTCCACTTCAATAAATAAAGTAGTAGGCCTGGTATCTACTCTTAACATAAGCAAGAAGTCCAAATTCCACCTGTTTAAATGTAGCTTTGTTGTAGACAGTGTTAATGAAGCAACTACACCGTAAAAGCTTCAAAGCAGTCAAATTACCCATTAACTTACAAGGTGAAGGTATTTTTTAATACATTATGATTACAGGGATAAGAGAATAATAAAGTTTCTGAATAACAAAGTTACAGGGGCTTTAGATTTCCAGAGCCTACACGAATCATTAAATGCTCATATCCTGTATGTTCTCTGTATATGCCCTTTATATGCCCTTCAAGATATACTTGCTTGTATGTATCATTCTCAATTGGCAGTAGATCATATGCCATTGCCTGAAAGGTCAGTTCATGCAGGACAGTGGACACAGGATCAAAGCCACGATCAATTATTATGAGCTGGGAATGAGTTTTACCCTGGAATAACAAGATAAAATTATCTTCAGAAACTTCAATTTGTGTGAATACTTTGTTAATCTCAGAAAACAAAAGCAGACTTTTCCTAACTTCTGTCTCATTCTCAAGAATGTGAAGTTCTATTAAAACAGAAAAATTGGAGTGGCACAATATGGGAAAAAACAAGACTACAAAACTAAAAACTTAGATTAAGGGGCTATACTCAATATTACAATATTGTGAAAATTTGTTTTAAAAAAGTAACATCTGCCTTGCACTAAATCCATTTTCTTAGTAATTCAGCTCCATAAACACTAAAACTGATATAAAATATGAACAGCAGTCACTACTAGGCTCCTTGTATTACACATGTGCGAAGCAAAAAATATATACATTATTTCTTAGAGCAACCCTGTAAGGCAGATATTAGATCTCTATATGATTAGGGCATTAAAGCATAAAATTCAGTAACTTTACTAAATTACATAGCTAGTAAGTGGCAGAATGGAGAATCAAACCCATGTCAGTTTTCATTCCATGCCTGTGTTCTTCAAATAATTCTTCAAATTATGTTATTTAAAAGGATTATACTGATACCAGCTAAGATGGCAAATCAAAATGAAGGCCTTGTTATCATTAATTCACAAACAGCCGTAATTATTAAACAGTGAATAACAATGCTGGGAAAATTATTGTTAATACTAGTATCTTTCATATACTTCATTTTAGAAAATAATAAATTATTTGGATTGTTATTTAAAGCAGTGAGAAATAACTACAACTCATTAGACAAATATTTCCTATTTATTTACATATATCAAATATAGGTAAATTACGTAAGAAAGACCTTTAAATTTTTTTTATTTAACCCTTTACTCATTTAAACCTTGAGACAGTATGATACAGGAGTTAAGAACACAGGCTCTGGAATCACATAGATCTAGGTATCTGTATGTCCAGTCTTGACCATTTTCTTACTAAATGACTTTGGGCAAATTGTTTAACTTAGTATCTCAGTATTCTCATTTGTAAAACAAAATATAACCAGAACCTCTGCTGTATAAGATTATTGTAAAAATTTAATGTAGGGGCGCCTGGGTGGCTCAGTGCTCAGGTCATGATCTCAGGGTTCGTACATTTGAGTCCTGCAATGGGCTCTGTGCTTTGGATCCTCTGTCCTCCTCCCTCCCCACAGCTCTCTGCCTCTCTCTCAAAAATAAATAAACTTAAAAAAAATTTAATGTAATAACACCATAAAACACTTAGTGCCTGGCATTTAATAAGCCTTCAATACATTTAAGTTACAAGTCCTCAAAAATACAAATATGAAAGAGATGGTGTGATACAAGTGTTATATCAGGGCTTGGGGTTATGACAATATGTGGGAGGAACTATCATTTGACCTGAAGAGTCAGGAAACGCTTCAAAAAGAAGATGACACTTCATCATGTCCTCAAATGAAGGAAAAATATCAAGCATTTGAAGGATGTATAATTTCCCAGGCAGAAGAATGGAAAGGACAAGTTTTGTGTGGGTTGTTTTTTTTTTTGGTGGATCTTGCCTTTTTTTCCCCATAGAAATCATAAAGGACAAAAGGATATTTACTAACATACCCATCACGTATCTCTTCCCTCATTCAATATACATTGACTATTACCATGCTACACACTGAATCACTGTTTTCAAAACTCCACTAGCACAGCTTTCACAAACCTATAGTAACTCTTAAAGTTGTAAACTAACATTATATCTAAGCTTACACCCTCCTATTCCTGTGCAGGTATTTGTAAATTTCCCTTTTTCACTATGCCTCTGTCAAAGAATCCTGTTATCCAAGCAACAAACTCCTTCTTCCATCATGTTGTACTCATTTTCTAAAAATTTTTTTCATGTTTTTTATTTATTTCTGAGAGAAAGAGAGACAGCGCAAGCAGGGGAGGGTCAGAGAGAGAGGGAGATACAGAATCTGAAACAGGCTCCAGGCTCTGAGCCTGCTGTCAGCACAGAGCCCAACGCGGGGCTTGAACCCATGAACCACGAGATCATGACCTGAGCTGAAGCAGGACACTCAACTGACTGAGCCACCCAGGCGCCCCATGTTGTATTAATTTTTATAAGTTCAAGAGCCTCCTCCGCTGGGATGCTTTCCAAGCCTCCAGTTAGAAGATTAAACCCACTACATTCTATGTATTATTTATTTCATTTCACTTATTAAACAACACTGTAGCAGTGGTTTCCCTTGCCCATCTCCTCTTCTAAGCTATCAACAGTTTCTTCTGCTTATTTAATATAGCTTCTGAGCCCCCTGGTCTCACCTCTTTCAGTTTCCTCAGACTCTTCATTTTCCAACCATAGCCTAAATGCTGGTATTCTCCAGGACTCAACCTTAGTCTCTGATTACTTTATACTGTCTTCATAAGATAGTAACAGCTGCCACTTGTTAAACTCCTATATGTGCTGAACACGTTAATTCACCTAATCTTCATGCCAACCAAGCAAGCTATACATTTATCACATACATTTTATATATGAAAATACGACTCAGAGTAAATAATTTGTACAAAGTCACAGAGATGGCAATAAGAGTAACTATATTTATTAAATGTTTACTCAGCAGCAAGTACCATTGTAAGAATTTTAAAAGTTATAACTCATTTAACCCTCTACTTTATAAAATAGGTATTCTTATTATCCCCATTTTATAGTTTAAGAAAACTTAGGCACAGGGAAGTTACATTATTTACCCAAACTGACATATCTATGAATTAAAAATGGCAGAGCCAGGACTTGGACACAGTGCTTACTTCAAAACCCATGTCTCCCAATAAACCACACTATTATTAAGGTTCCCACTACCATCTATATTAATTATTCTTACAATACTGGGGATCTATGTTAATGATTCCCAAATCAACACTGGAAAATGAACAATAATACTTTTGATTTATGAAGAAATAAGATAGACTGTTCATAATCACTATTTGCCTTTTAAATATTACCTTTATTAGGCTCTTTTCATCAATCTTGTAGTAGTTTTCAAGTTTTTTTTCAACAAGCTGCGCAAGCTTACTGGCGTTATCTAGAGGTTTACTGTAAGTGGAAAAAATGTTCAAACAATTATCCTTTCAAAACACATGTTGCAATATCATAAAGCTGAATTCTAAAATTAAACCACGCAATAATTAAAAGATTTTATAAACACAGAAAACTTCAATTAAAAATATATCAAATATAATATTATACCAATTTGTCTGGATTTTACAAATGTAAACCTCATATGCACTTCAGATTTTCTTAAAGAAAATAATATATTATAAACAAAACTACAGTTCCCTGTATTTCCCTCCCCATTCCTAATCTTGTCCTCTACCTCTCTCCACTTTCAATAGCAACCACTAACATGAATTTGGTGTGTATTCTTCCTATCAATGCTGTTATAAATATATATATATATATTGCTTTCTATATGTTTAACAGTATATGTTATATATGTTTGAGATCTATGTTGACATATACATATCAAATTTATTCACTTTAGTTCTACAGTTTTCCATCATATGATTATACTGGATTCTATGTATTCATCTCCTTAAAGACGGACTTTCTAATTTTTTTTTGAGGCTTATTCATTTTTCAGAGACAGAGCATGAATGGGAGAGGAGCAGAGGGAGAGGGAGACATGGAATCTGAAGCTGGCCCCAGGCTCTGAGCTGTCAGCATAAAGCTCAACGCAGGGCTCAAACTCACAGACTATGGGATCAAGACCTAAGCTGAAGTCAGATATACAACCAACTGAGCCACCCAGGTGCCCCTTAAAGATGGACGTTTAAATCATTCTCAATTTTATAATAAACTGTAACAAATATCTTTTTAACTGTATCTCCATGTAGGCTTTTCTACATCTAAAAATGCAATTGCTGGTGCGCCTGGGTGGCTTAGTCGGTTAAGCATCTGACTTTCGCTTAGGTCATGATCTCGCGGTTCGTGGGTTCGAGCCCCACATCGGGCTCTGTGCTGACTGCCAGCTCAGAGCCTGGAGCTTCTTTCAGAGTCTGTGATTCCCTCTCTCTCTGACCCTCCCCTGCTCACGCTGTCTCTATCTCTCTCCTAGAAATAAATAAAACATTTAAAAAAAATTTTTTTAATGCAATTGCTGAGTCAATGAAGAACATCTTTACTTTTCTAGATATTAGCCTATTACTCTCCAATGAGTTGACCAATTATCCTTCCTCCTAGCAGTGTGAGATTTCTCAATGTGCTCTCTAACATTTAATCAGCTTTCCAATATAACCTTTTGCATAAAATTTTGTATATTACGGTCTTCTAAAATGACAAAATCATAGTCTAAATTATGACTTCATGACCAGTGGCATTAGCATAACTTCTCAGTCTACAGGAAAAAATGCTGTAAAAGTCTCTTCAATTAGCATACCAATCTCAAAAATGGAGGGTCTCATTGTGAGGGCTTCAAACGTTAAACACTCTTTAGATTTTATACCTTAAACATAAAGCAGCAACTATAAAGAATGATTTATTACATGTTTAGCTTTAAAATATTTTCAAAAGGAAATAATTTTATTTTTAACAGTCCACAAGACATAAAGGAATGCTTTGAGAAACTACAAGTAGGATTTTTTTTAATTTTTTTAATGTTTTATTTATTTTTGAGAGAGAGATAGAGACAGTGTGAGCAGGGGAGGGTCAGAGAGCGAGGGAGTCACAGAATCCAAAGACAGGTTCCAGGCTCTGAGCTAGCTGTCAGCACAGACCCCGATGCGGGGCTCGAACCCACGAACCATGAGATCATGACCTTAGCCAAAGTCGGACACTTAACCGAATGAGCCACCCAGGCGTCCCTACAAGTAGGATTTTAATGTTACTTAAATATAAAATACATGAATTTGAAATTAAACAGTTCAGCCAACAAACTTGACAAATGCAAATGTTTAAATTAAAGAAACTTTTAAAAAAGAAATGAGTGATAATACTTGCAGTAGTACCATAGTATATTTACTACTACCATTTTACTAATGTCATGCACTATTCTGAATGCTTGACAGAGTTCTAACAACAACTTAATATGGTGGGTACTATTATCATTCCTATTTCATAGATATGGAAACTGAGGGCAGAAGGGTCATACAGCTGAAGTCAGATATACAACCAACTGAGTAATTAGCAGAGACTAAAATCCAAGCTGTCTGGTTACATACAACAACATGGATGACTCTCATAATGTTGAACAGAGAATGCAGAAACAAAAAACAGAAGATTCCATTTTTACCAAGTTCAACATCAAGGCAGAACTAAAATACATGTCAGAAGTCAGTATAGTAGTGACCTTCACGGAGAAAAAAGAGGGTGGTGATCAAGAGGAATCATGAGCAGAACCTCTGAGATGCTGTTTATGTTCTATTTCTTGACCTTGGTAGGGTTTAAGAGGTATGTTCACTTCGGAATGATTTATCAAGCCATATACATATACTTTATGCACTTTTCAGAAAGCAAGCCTGGAGCATAAGAGCCCAAAGTGGGGCTCAAACCCGTGAACTGTGAGATCACGACCTGAGCCAAAGTTGGAAGCTTAACTGACTGAGCCACCCAGGCATCCCACAGTAAATCTTTTTTTTTTTTTAATCTTTTAATGTTTATTCATTTTTGAGAAACAGAGAGACAGAGTGTGAGCATGGGAGGGGCAGAGAGAGAGGGAGACACAGAATCTGAAGCAGGCTCCAGGCTTGGAGCTGTCAATAGAGCCTGATGGGGGCTCAAACTCACAAGCTGTGAGATCATGATCTGAGCTAAGTCGGATGCTCAACTGACTGAGCCACCCAGGTGCCCCAGTAAATCTTATTCTTAAAAAAGAAGCAAATAAATAAAGGTACATAGTATTAAAGTCAAACTTTAGCTCTAAACAAAACAAACAATAAAATCTATTTAGAATGGCCATTAGGGGGCACCGGGCTGGTTCACTCAGTTGAGAGTCTGGCTCTTGATTTCAGCAAAGGTCATGATCTCTAGTCTTCTTAAGTTTGAGTGAGCCCTGCACTGGGCTCTGCACTGACAGCAGGGAGCCTGCTTGGAATTCTCTCCCTCTCTCTCTGCCCTCCCCAGCTCATCCAAGCACTCTCTCTCAAAATAAATAAACATTAAAAATATATATATTTAAGAGCACCTGTTTAGCTCAGTTGGTTAATCGTCCAACTCTTGATCTCAGCTCAGGTCATGATCTCATGGTTCATGAGTTTGAGTCCTGCATCCGGCTCTGCGCTGACAGTGTGTAACCTGCCTGGGGGGATTCTCTCTCTTCCCTTTCTGCTCCTCCTCCCTGCTCACATGCTCTCTCTCAAAATAAATAAATAAACATTTTTTAAAAAGTGCTTGCAAATTATATCAAATTTAAGCTCTGAAATTTATAACAGAGTCTATTAGTTGTTTGGAAATTTCAACTTTCAACTTTAAATCTCCTATTTGAACAGCATAACTTTATATGGAATTTGGAAAGTAAACTCTGAAAACCAATACACTGAGACATTACTTCCCTCTATACTGGAGATCAAACAGAAAGCATAACATATACAGACAGTACTGAGGGTCTTACCTTTTATATCTTACTCCAGGGTTTTCATCCAGGGTAGCACATACTGTAACTATCTGCGTAGCCATCGCTTCCATAACAGAATCTTTTCCATTTGCATTACTAGGGTCTGGACTGTAACAGTAATAGAATGCATCCGGTACATCAAGAGTATAAACCTAAGTTAGGCCCAAAACAAAAAAGGTCATACTGTGTCAACTGGTGTCATGGTTAAAAAAAAAAAAAAAAAAAATCAAGAAAAATGTGGCTATTATTTGGGACATTAAAAAAATTACTTGCTTAACCATACTGTCTCCTGAGACCACAGTGTCTTTACCTTAATCAAATCTCATTTTCTGTCATCTTGATTTCATCTTTCTTTCTTTCTTCACTCTCTTTTCCTGCTTAGCCTACCTCTCTCCTTCAATTCTTGTTTCATACTGTATTATTTGTTTCTCACTACCTGTGCAACAGATGAAGGAATCCAAGGTAGTCAAACTAAAATAAAAATCTAATACCTGGCACAAAGAAATAAAACAAAGTCAAAACTGGTCTATATATTTGACACACATTAAAAATGTTAATCCATTAGAGAATAATCTAGAAATCTTCCACAGTTGGTATATATCTTCAATTCTTTAGCTTATATTCTTCATGTCCTTAAAATAGAGATATATTTCCCAAAAAGATACAGTATTGTGCCAGACACAGTAACTGGTCTAATCATAGATACACTGAAACCTCAAAGACACATTTATTCAACTAACAAAACCGTTTACTTATATGCAAAGAACTGGATTAGAGAAGTGCATGGGTGGTGCAGTCAGTTAAGCAACGGACTCTTGATCTAGGCTCAGGTCAGGCTCTCTCTATTCACGGGTTCGAACCCAGTTTCAGGCTCTGTGCTGATGGTTCGGAGTCTGCTTGGGATTCTTTCTTTTTGCCCCTCCCCTGCTTGTGTGTGTGCACGCACTTGCTTGTTCTTGCTCTCTCTCTCTCTCTCTCTCAAAAATAAATATATAACATTAAAAAAAAAAAAAAGGAACTGGATTAGAGATTTACTATTATTATTTAAAGAGAACAAAAGTGAGGCACCTGGGTGGCTCAGTAGGTTAAGCATCTCTTGGTTTCAGCTCAGGTGACAATCTCACAGATAGTGTGACACCAAGCCCCACACTGGGCTCTGTGGTGATGGTGCAGAGAGCCTACTTGGGATTTTCTTTCTCCCTCTCTCTGCCCCACCCCCACTCATGCTCGCATACTCTAAACAAACAAACAAACAAGCAAACTTTAAAAATGAAAACAAAAGAAGAAGCTCTTTTACTGGGGTTGAGTTCTTCACTAAACTAATTTTTATTTTTATTTTTTTAAGACAATGATAACAATCCCTCTTAGCCTAGGATAATGCATTGAGTATAAGTATGTAATAAACATTACATGCTAAACTCCTGCATTATGAATAAACTCCCTTGTGAAAAGTTTCCTTTCATTTTATATCCATTCATTTCTCTGAACATAACACAAAACCAACAGCAGCAGGCTGAATATGGATTCAGATTTAGCCATAGCTAATCCACTTATGTCTGTGTTGCTCAAAGTCTTGGCTGTTAAATTAACTGCCAACAAGCACTTCTCTTAGTACACTATTACATACAGTAGATAATATTACTTGTTCAAAAATACTTACTGTCCCTCCCTAAGGGCCTCTCTCCCTATAAGAATATACTTCCCACTCACTAAAGTCAGCCTTGGCTATGGGCACTAGAACATAAGTAGAAGTGACATGTGCTACTCCCCACAAAAGCTTTAAAAGCCATTGTGTGGCTCCGAAATTTCTCTTTTCCCTCTGCTATGTCCCAGACAAGGGCTATTCCTTCAGCCTCATACCCAGAATGAAGAGAATCTAGAGCAAAGCCCCAGGCAAACCATAATGGACAAAAATATGAGAAATAAACTTGGCTACAGTAATGCACTGAGATTTAGGGAATTGTTACAATAGTTTAAAATTAACCTAAGCTATCTAATACTCCAATGAGCCAAAGAGAATTCTATACTCATATTTCTTCCATTCTTCTATGTCCCTTCTCCTCCTCCTCTCCACTTTCCATTACTACCATTACATGTTCCTTGAGACCATTACCAAATATTTTCTTCAATTTTATGACCCACAATCAGCCCCTTAAGTAAAGATTCCTCCCACCCCCGCCACTTTCATCTACTTTTTTTTTTTTGCTAATCTATAGCTGGCTTAGCTCTATTTCTACATCTAGCACCCTCCCCACTAACTATACCAGACTCTTCATACTCTGGAAGGTCCACTGTAATCAAATTTCTCTACATTCTTAACTGCTTTCCCTTTAATTACCCTCATGTATATGTGATAGCACTAATTATCTTAAATCCTCTAAGAAGTAAAGCAAGAGGTTTCTTTAATCTCTTTGACTCAAAAATTCAGGATTGAATCAATCTCCTTCCTCTTCATGCAACCTCTAAATGTGTTGAATGTCTGTCCAACTTATCTTCTCTGAAGCACTATCCCATCTGACTTTGTATCTAGCTGATAGTATCCACTGTACAAGATCTTGATAAATGTTCATACAGGCCTTTGCTCTTAGCTCAAAGCACTTGGTAGCATTTCCTTTATATCTTCACTTACAAAGTTCAAAACATTTTCACTGTAATTTCTCTGTAACAGTTACATTTACTAAGTAAATGCTCTTAAGATACTTATCAAGGAAATAAAAGCAAAAACTTCTTTGGGGAAAAACAAAGCAGACAGAACCTTAAATAATCACATTTTGAAAAGACACAGTAAGAAGATTCTCATGAGATTTCTCTATATAGACAAAAACAAGTTATTTCCGTCACCAATCAAATTGGTCAGATAGCTACACAAATCTCTCCTTCAAATATAGTAAATGCAGAATTTTGATGAATTTTCAGGCTAAAACTATATTTACCATCTGTACGGCAGATGCTCTGGATCCATTTATAATATTTATCACACTACTGTTTATACCCCACATCATTTAGAAAGCCCATCTCACCCTGTATTAAAATTCCGTATCACATTAAAAGGAAAAGGCCTAAAGGTAACCTTTGGCAACAGTGCAATGTTAAAACAGATATCTTAAAATTTTACAATTTGGATTATAATCTTTCTTTGCCCAAAATAGCAATAAGCTTAAAAGAAAAATCCCTTGGGGCGCCTGTGTGGCTCAGTCAGTTAAGCGTCCACTTCAGCTCAGGTCATGACCTCATGGTTTGTGAGTTTGAGGGTGGGTGAGTCCCGCTTCGGATCCTCTGTATCCCTCTCTCTCTACCCCTCACCTGCACTCCCTCTCTCAAAAATAAACAAACATTTAAAAAGAAAAGAAAAAACATTCCTTTATCTAGGACCTTTCTTTCTCTTAAAATACTGACCTTATAATTCCAAACCACAGTGAACTATTACAATTCTAGGAAATGCTAGAATCCAAACACAGAGAACAGAGCACAGCAAAGCTGAGCAATGCACCAGCTGTGTGATTTGGGGCAAGTTACTTAACTTCTTTGATTTCACCACCTTTAAAATGAAGACAGAATTACTATCCATTCATAGGGCTATTATGAGGATTACATGAATATATTTATGGAAAACACTTAGGAAAGTGGCACATGGAGAATACTATGTAGGTGTTTCCTATCACCATTATTATGATTAATTGAAGGATCATAACTATTCCAAAGTCAAAATATATTTTTAAAATCCTTTATTTTATAAATTAAAGCAATCCATATACTGTTACAGGAAAAATTTATTGAAGAACATTTGTTTTAATATCACAAATGGTTACAGAAGCTAAAAATGTTTCTTTTGAGTCATCTAACATAGACTGTGCTCAAATCTTTTGATTTCATAATCTAATAGTTCTGTAAAACTTGACATACACAGGACTTAGCAGCAGCTGTGAAATTTAAGCTCCACTTTCATAATGTTCTATTCCAATTTATTCTCCTCTCCTTTCCTTCATCATGATATGTTTATTCGTGGATCATTCAAAATTCACCAAATACATAACATATAACATATCTTTAAGATATACCTTATTCACAAGCAAGCTCATAAAACCAAATTTTAAAATACACTATGAACTAAAATTAAAATAAAAAAAGGAAGTACCTGAGACTCAAGTGGAATGAAGGAAATATTTATTTCTTTACATCTTCTTATTGATTTGGAGCAAGAAACCTTAATTTTGTTAAAGAGACTATCAGGGCAAACTGAAAGGGGGAAAAAAACAATCAAGGCATATAACTCCATCTAAATTGTTATTCTTTTGAATAAATCATTTTAACATCCAAGAATATTTATTTTTTACATATAATTAACGATTTTCACAAAGCAATTTACTATGAGGACAGAGATAATATTTAAATGTTTTTCTTCACTTAGCAGAAAAAATGTATTCTAGCCAAGAGGGCTTGTAATAGAAATTCCATTTTCCCCATTATAGGCACCATAACTTATTATTTCCTTAGAGAGCTGCTTATACAGCAAACTAAAATAGTTAGGAAGGAAAATCATGTCCAAACTCATGACTTAATAAACTTTCATAGGACTTTCAGAATTTCTTAGGAATTTATACTACTTTTCTAAATGTGGCACTAAGTGCAACCATCCCACACAAATTGTTAGTTTTTCCTTGTATTTCAAGAACTTCTCTAATGACAGGAAATCCTGAGACTAATACAGAGCCTGTTCTCCCCACCCTCCCTTTACCTGTTTATATCTCTATTAAATTTAGGTTGGAACATCAACCATTGGGTCCTAGTGTCTTTTAACATGATGTTCTTTAGCCTCAAAGAGGCTTCACATTCGTTAAATTTTATAAATTCTATAAACATGAATTTCTGTATAATACGGTTCTTTAAAAGACAAATACTTATGGCATGACATATTTAAAATGCAAACTACTACTATGAGATAAATAACTTACAGGAAAAACAATCTACTGCTTAAAATTATGAATTTCTAATAGCATTGACCAAGACTATACTTAATGAATGGCATTTTTATTTTGCAAGATAATTATGTAAGATATAACATAAAGCAGAATTATGTGTGTGTCTGGACTTCTCTGTGATGCTTTTGTTTAGGTGCTTTCTGTTTGAACATAGGGCATGGTAAGAGAAATGTGACAGATTCTCTCCATTAATATTTGTCAAACAGATGGCAATTTCTGCAGTACCCTCCCAACGGGTCTTATTTTTGATTATATAATCAAATCCCCAATTAAAACTTAGATTTAAAAAAGAATTACTCCTGTCATCAGCATAAAATTTGAGGTATAGCTCTCACTACCAACCCCCTACCATTGTACACCAGCAAAAATGACTAGTCAGAATTTAATTTTCTATTACTTTAATATGAATTAGGACAGATATGATCTTATATTTTTAGATTTTTTCTAATCTAATTAAACAAGCAATAAATAGAAAGTCTTAATATTGTAATAGTATTGTAAGAAATATTTTACAATTAATAGGATTTTAAACAAAAAAGCAATACTTTTACAAAGCTACTTACAGTCCGTGAAGTATATATATGCTGCTTTGTATTTGTTCTCGGATTTACTTGCAAAATCACGTAAAAAACAGTCTACAGACTTAAAAAAGGTTAGATGTTAATACACATTTAACCAAATGTTAATTTAAACGTGCTAGCTTTTGAAATAACTAAGAATACTCTTTTTTGATAATAAAACAAAACCTTAACTATCTCAAAGTGTACTTTATAAACTGATTTTTTACAATGCTATCTTATCTAGCCAGTAATAGCTAAAAACCTAAGAAGCAGTAAGGTAGTATGTATAAACAGAGTACAGTTTCAACAATGAGAAGATCCAGGAGCAATCCAGTGACTGGGAAGCTGAAGCCACAGAGATCATGAGAAGGTAACAAATCAAGGAACTGAGAAGCCAATAAACATACTGGAAATGTTATATACCTGAGTAATGAAAGAATTGTGATTATAACTGGGAAAGTGCTGAAGAGAGTGACAGTGAGCTAGGAGTAAAATTGTCAAGGGATAATGCAAGAAGGAGGAATGGCAAGTAATAAAGTCTGGTAGTGCTTGCACGTCTCAGTGCTGGTAGTTTTAAAGATACAATGATCTGGAAGCAAAAATGAAGAACACAAAATTTAATGATCTCTCCGCCATCTGTTCCTTTTTCTCCTAGAACTCCTAGAACTATTTCTTTTAGGCCTCACAGATCAATCCAATCAGTCCAGCAAGTCTCTTATCTTTCCCCCATGATTTTCATGACTGTTTTTTTTTTTTTTTGCTTTAAGATATTCCATTTTAACTAAGCTATTAACTTAAATTTCAATAGCGATTATCCTCTTTTGCCAATAAACTGAAAAATCACACACTTTTGAGCTTCAGGAAATTTTTTATATGCTATACTAGACTCTTCTTACATGTATCATTTTTCTGTTCAATTCATCCTTCTCTCCAAGAAGCTATATTTTGTATTTTCTTCATTCTTACTGAACTTCCTCTTTCTGGCAGCTTGGCCCAGTTAGATGTGTTGATGAATTCCTTTGTTAACTCACTGAAGGTATAGGTTTGTTGCTAGAAAAATCCTAAATACAGGCAGTTCTACAAGAGGGGAAGGCAAAAAGATTTCTATTCCTGCGGGCTCTAAGTATATAAGCAGACAAACCATCAGGGCTTTCTTTTTCACCAACTGACCTTTCCCCTGGGGTTCAGAGATCTCTTACAGCCAAACTCTTCTGAAATCTGTCATTTTATGGCCCCTGGCTGGGAATACTCTGACCCTGGTTTCCAGATGCCTACCCAGCTACTAAGGAAGGAAGTCTCTCACTAGGCTTCTCCACTAGTGTCCAACAGCCCAAGCCCTCACTGGTACCCCCAGGACTGGGGGGCCCAACAGGTAATTGACTCAGGACAGAAAGAGAAACTAGGGTTGTTTATAGTAGAAAAAGGAATCACATTCAGATACCATTTTCTCTGAGCCCTTTGCTCCTTTACCGAATACACAATTTTGTATCCTGCTTCTGTCACATAACATTAAAAATAAACATTTACCTAAATCATTAAAATTTCCCAGAAATCTCATTTTTAATGGACAGTCTTTCCTACTATTAATCTATTAATGGTAAGAATTAGCATTAAGATATAAAATGTCATTAAAACCCACCAGCAGCCAGCATCTAGAGACTAAATAGTGAATATCTGATTTTTTTTTCCTGCTGTCTGCAAGAATCAGAAGAAATGAAACTGCATTTGCCAACTTAACGTTCTGGGTGGGAATAAGCCAAAGATTGTATTAGAAAATCCATTCTCAGATAATGAACGGAATAAAGGAATCTGACATGGTGCCTAGGTGGCACAATCGAGTCCCACATTGGGCTCTGTGCTGACAGCTCAGAGCCTGGAGCCTACATTGGATTCTGTGTCTCCCTCTCTTTCTGAATCTTCCCACCCACACACTGTCTCTGTCTCTCAAAAATAAATTAACATTAAAAAAAATTAGAATAAAGGAATCTGATATTTACTTGGCTCTAAAATTTTGGCTTTAATATGCATTCAATTACAGATTATAAACTAATTCCTTTGACATAAAAGATTATTTACATATATATGCATGCATACATGTGTATATACATACATGTATGCTACAGGGAAGTAACTTAAGATAAAGAATTAATCTATGACCATCTCTTTTATTGTATATTTCTATCTTCCCAAAAAATATGGTTGCAGAGGAACAGCATGAGTAAATCACTCAAACTCCATCATTTTAATACAATTAAATTTTACTTTCAGATATGATGAGAGAATTCTTTCATTTATATATTCTCATTAAGAAGAGCGCAAATGAAATAATTTTCTAACAGAGAAGAACTTTCCTAAGCAAACTAGTTTATGGCACTATTTTTCTAATAAAGGGTGGTGTATTACTTTCAATTGCCTATGAGAAAATGATGTCGATGAATGAGGAAGATACTTTTTAAAGATTCAAAACACTCACCTTTGGTGTTGGAGAGATAAAATAAAGAGCTTTCATTTGTCTGACGGGTTCTCGATTCTTATAAATATTCTCCACAACTAATAAAAAAACAAGTCCATTTTATATAACCAACTATTTATACACTTGAAATAGTTTTAAAATAAGCTTTACTTCTTATTTATAATAGGGAAACACATTAACGTATCTTGGGGTTTAACATTTTCTTTGTTCCCCTTTGATAAATTTAAAAAATCCCCAAAATGTATCTTCCCTAAACCTAAATTCTGGGCTAAGTGCTCATCATGAGAAAAAAGGATGAAGCAGCTATTTCATAGTTAGGTCTACCAGTATAAGCAATCAACATGCCATAAAGCAAGGAAATGCATTAAAAATTAAAATTCATATATCTTTTTAAAAATATTCTAATGAGATAGCAAATATAATACCAGATATCAGGTTAAGCACTTAACATAATTTATCCGTTAAACCTTCTAATAAGTATTATATAACAAACCAATAAAATAAATATTTTACAAATTAGGAAACTGAGACTTAAAGAAGTTAGGTAACTTGAAAGCTAGAAAGTAGAACCGGTAGGATTCCAGCTCCAATCTGTTTGACTCCAGAACTCAAGGTTTTAACTGCTATAATATTCTTTAAATAAACTGCCAATTAACTCTTTTTCTTTTAAAACTATGCAATAATTTTAAAGTATTTTTAACAATTAAACATCACCATAATTTACTCAATTGTATTTTTATTATTGAAATTAATAAGTTTATGAAATTAACTAACATGAAACAAAGTGAATTTAAAACCAGTAAACTCTAGGGGCGCCTGGGTGGCTCAGTAAGTGTTGGACTCTTAGTTTCTGCTCAGGTGGTGATCTCACATTTTCGTGAGATCAAGCCCTGCATGGGGCTCTGTGCTGACAGTGTGCAGCCTGCTTGGGATTCTCTCTCTCCTTCTTCCTGCCCCCCCCCCCCCACTGCCTGCACTTGCCCTGTCTCTCCCTCTCAAAAAATAAACTTTAAAAAAAAAAAAAGAAAAGCAAACAACACAAAAAAACTAGTAAACTCTAAACTGTCAAATTAACTACTAAAGCTATATTTTAAAAAATTAAGTATCATTCTACAAATCAAGAGAATCACCTTTCAAGACTAATGCTGGCAAAAGCCCTGGAAAGAATTAAAAAGATTAATCTGACAGGCAAGGTAGGTTACTGTTTAACTTCTCTGATAAATATGATGATTCACCTTCTCATTCCTACATTTGTATTAGTAAAGTAAAAGTTTATCACAGCTTCTATTAGGATATCAAATAAAGTTTCTAAGGAAATATTTAATTGTATTTTTATCTCCATTCCCAACTATGGTAATTTCACCTTTAAAAGACTAAGGTTAAATCTACGTAAACTTACTCTTACTGCTTAATACTCAAAGTCAAGTGCCTTACAGTCATCTTATGCTATACATACAATGTTTGGTCAGTAATGTACATGTTAAAATGTGAAACTACTGTGGGTATGATTTTTTAGAACACAGACTTTGAAAATAATCTGAAATGTCTGGTTATTAATAGCAGAAAGTACCGCTAATTCAATTCCCTGAAAAATGAGTATCTAATAAGTGATTTAACAAAAAGGTTTTTAAGGGATGCCTGAGTGGCTGTTAAATATTAATATCTAAAACCTTACAATGTAAGGATGTAAAACTCAAGATTCAGAAATTAAAGAAATCAGGGGCATCTGGGTGGCTCAGTTGGTTGAGTGTCCGACTCTTGATTTCAGCTCAGGACATGATCTCATTGTTCTTGGGTCCTAGCCCCAAGGTGAGCTCTGTGCTGATTAGTGTGGAGCCTGTTTGGGATGCTTGCTCTCCCTTTCTCTCTGCCCCTCTCCCATTCATGCTCTCTTTCTCTCTCTCTCTCAAAATAAACAAACATTAAGAAAAAAATACAACTCTGGAAAGTTCTAAAGAAACCTGTTTAGGGGCACCTGGATGGCTCAGTCAGTTGAGTGTCCAAATTCAGCTCAGGTCATGATCTCACGGTCTATGAGTTCAAGCCCCACATTGGGCTCTGTGCTGACAGCTCAGAGTCAAGCCTGCTTTGGATTCTGTCTCCCTCTCTTTCTGCTCCTCCCCTACTCTGTCTCTCTCTAAAAAATAAATAAACATTAAAACAAAAAAAAAAGAAAGAAAGCTGCTTAGCTTTGCTAGGCATTAGAATTTTTTCCTTGAAGACTATCAACGTCGAACACACAGTAAGAAACAATGGTTTAAAAAAATTAAATAAAACCTCCTTACAGTGCAAAATGGTTCTATAGCTTCATTATATTTTCATACATATTATCAAATGGTTCTAGGGGCACCTGGGTGGCTCAGTTGGTTAAGTGTCCAACTTTGGCTCAGGTCATGATGTCATGGTTCATGAGTTTGCACCCCGTGTCAGGCTCTGTGCTGACAGCTCAGAGCCTGGAGCCTGCTTCTGATTCAGTCTGTCTCCCTCCCTCTCTGCCCATCCCCCACTTGACTCTGTCTCTTTCTCTCTCAAAAATAAACAAACATTAAAAAAAAGACTTAAAAAATAGTTCTCACTTTAGTTGCTAATTAGAATGACCTTTGGAAACTTAAAAAACTTCATGGCTTAATCAATACTACATTTGTCCAGTAGTAGAAAAATTAAGGCTTTAATCTTCTGATTTCTACTTGAGAGTTTTTTCCACTGAGAAGGCCATAAAGACCATAAAGACAAGCTGCATATATATAATCACTAATAAAATATTATATAGTAAAGAATTTATATATAAATATGAAAATAATTATTACAAAAATTTTTAGACAATCCTCCCTTTGTACACATTGCTCAGGTTTTCTTGAAAATACTGGTGTAGTGGTTTTTTTTTGTTTTTAAATTTATTTATTTTGAGAGAGAAAGAGACATGGTTAGAGTTATAAAATAATAAAACATAACCCCCTCAGAAATACAGTGACTAACTAAAATTAATACTTCAAACTTTCCTAATCATAACAAAAAAGTTTTCATGATGAGTATTGGTAACACTTACCAGTTATACCCTCTGCTAGAAGATCTGTCATTTTGCAACACGATGCCAAAAGCTTAGTGGTAAATTCATCTAAAAGCATGATCTTAAAATGAATATAAATTAAGAAATAAAGTAAGTACTTGATTGCCAAGAATTCACAATAGAATTTAATCCATTAAACCTACTCAAACGTTTTATAATATAAAATGAAAATATTAGGACAGTAGGCAAAATTATCTCAATTCACCTCTTGCATGACCTAGAGATTTTCTCAATATACATACATATATTATACGTAAGTAAGCAAATAGAAACATTTCCATTTTGAAGCAGAGAACTTGTTCATTTTAAGTGTATCCTGTGTTTAACATCAAATTTTTTTTAATTATAAAATGCCACTTATAGAACAATAATTATTCCAGGAGCCATTCTTATTATTTTCCATGGTTTAATTAATTTAATCTTTACAACTATGCTATGAGGTAAGACTAGCTCTATTTTAGAGACAAGTAACAGAGAGGTCAAGCAATTTGCCTAAGAAGACACGGCTATCAAGTGGTGAAGCTATGATCTGAATGCAATCAGTATGGTTCTAGACTCTACCCTCTTATAGAAGTATAATAAGGACAATAGATTGATGTCCTCAATTAAAGGGCAAAATATGCATATTCTACCTTCCATTCCCCTTCTTTCTTGCAGTCATCAAACACTGTTGCTTTTATCTCTGCCAAGAAAAACACAAAAAACAAACAAATCACAATTACTTACAAATCTTAATCAATAGTAGAAATAGAACAGATGTATATTTTAAAAATTAAATAAAAGTTCAAAAAAAGATAATATAATAATAGAATAACTATTCAAAGATCCAAAAGATTGGGGAAGTACCCAATCTGAAAATCTGCTAACCTACATAAAAAGTATATACACCTGTTAAACTCTAAGTAAAAATTCAGTTCTCTTTAATACCTAACCTATTTTTAAACTGTAATATATTTTTAAACTTTTGAGAATAAAAGTATAACAGGGGCACCTGGGTGGTTCAGTAGGCTAAGCATCCGACTTCGGCTCAGGTCATTATCTCACGGTTCGTGGGTTCGAGCACTGCATCAGGCTCTGTGCACAGGTCAGAGCTTGGATCCTGTTTCAGACTGTGTCTCCCTCTCTCTCTGCCCCTCCCCCACTCCTGTTCTGTCTTTCTTACTCTCAAAAATAAATAATAAGCATTAAAGAAAAAAGTTAAGGGATGCCTGGGTGGCTCAGTTGGTTAAGCATCTGACTTAGGCTCAGGTCATGATCTCATGGTTTGTGAGTTTGAGCCCCGTGTTGGGCTCTGTGCCTGACGGCTGGGAGCCTGGAGCCTGCTTCAGAGTCTGTGACTCCATCCCTCTGCCCCTTCCCCCACTGACACTCTGTCTCTTTGTCTCTCTCTCAAAAATAAACATTAAAAAATATATTTAAAAAGTTAAAGTATTATAAAAAGGAATATAAATATATAAATATATCTGGAAAATATTTCTGATTTGCTTTTTCCTATTTTACTTAAACCCCAAGTAAACAAGATGCAAAGAGAAAACTCATAGGAAAATCCCTAACTAGCCCATTGCTGAATTACATCTCATAATCAAAAGTGCGTAAGTACTTTTCTTCCTGGTTTACTGCATTACAATTTTCAACAAGTTATATTACAACATTAGGATACAGATATTGTCTTGATTTATAATCAATAAATATTAACATGTTCCTTGTAATGATTTTCAAAATTAACAACCTAAACATATATTTTAAATTAGTTCACTAACAAAATTTTTTTCTTATTAAATAATACGCATAGGCAATCAACACAAATATCTGTTGTTCTACCTCAGAAGACAATTCCTCACATTTAATATTTAAGTAATTTTCAATTTTGAAAACTATTATGTAGTATGCAACAAATAAAATATAATTAAAATGTAAATTACAGAAACTTCTAATTTCATTAATTCCTGGTAATGAGAGGTTTATAGAATTCATTTAAACTTTCCTATTTCTTGGGTAAGCCTGGTTGACTCAGTCAGAAGAACATGCAAGTCTTTATCTCAGGTTTATAAGTTCGAGCCCCAGGCTGGGTATAGAGATTACTTAAATAAGTAAATAAATTTAAAAAATAATAATAAAATTAAAAAACAAACTTTTCTACTTCTTAATTTAATACCCAAACTTTAACTGTTTTAAGTTAATGCTTGTGGAAATATACCATCAATTTTTGCATCACATTAAATGACATGTTCAAGCAGAGGATATATTTAATAAGGATTACTAACACTTATCATAAGAAATGTAATCTGGAAGATTTTATTGTGATTGGGAAGGTTGAAAGCGTTAAGAAATACTAGTTAGGGTGCTTATATATGTTTGCTAGGAAGATTATAACTTTTTTTAATGTTAATTATTTTTGAGAGAGTGAGTGTGCGTGCGAGTGGGGGAGGGGCAGAGAGAGAGGGAGAATCCAAAGCAGGCTCCAGGCTGTCAGCACAGAGCCTGATGCAGGGCTCGAACTCATGAACCATGAGATCATGACCTGAGACACAGACACTCAACTGACTGAGCCACCCAGGCACCCCCCGCTAGGAAGATTATGTTAAATGAGAATTATGGCAAAAGCCTACAGTGTTTAATACTAATTTAAACCTATAACACTGGTTTCTTCTAGTCTAAAGGCAGAGATGAAGGATTTTCTTAGAGTTCAGACACTAAAATACTATGCCACTTCCCTTTCTACGCTTGCTTTATTTCTATATACCTCAAACAAGCTGAAAATCAAAGAAATAAATGCTCATGGAATTTATGATAAAACAGATCGAAGATTTCCCTAGGAAGAACTCATCTCATTATAGTCTTTAAACCCTTAGAAACCGCACTGACCTATACAGTAAAGACTCATTACATGTCACCGTTGAACACTTAAAATATGGCTAGCCTGAACTGGGATGTCCTGCAGTATAAAATACATACCAGATTTCAAAGACCTAGTACAAAAACAGGAATGGGAAATATCATTAATTTTTATCTTTATATGCCTAAATGAGAATATTTTAGAAATTTATTATTAGGGGCACCTGGATGACTCAGTTGGTTAAGCATCTGACTCTTGATACTGGCTCAGGTTGTGATCTTGCAGTCATGTGACTGAGCGCCACATCAGGCGCTGAGTGCTTGGGATTCTCTCTCTCTCACTGCCACTTCTCCTTCCCCAATAAATAAACATTAAAAAAATTATTATTAAAATTATCTTCACTAATTTCTCTCTGCCTTTTTTTTTAATGTGGCTACTAGAAAATTTTAAATTCCGTATGTGGCTTGCACTATATTTCTACTGGATACTGCTGCCTTGGAATCTGAAGATACTAGACAGTGTTGGTGTTAGCATCTTAACAACAAAGGATAGGGGCTCCTGAGTGGCTCAACTCAGTTGGGCATCCAACTCTTAATTTAGGCTCAGGTCATGATCTCACAATTCCTGGGATAGAGCCCCATGCTCTCAGTGGGAAGCCTGCTTGGGATTCTCTTTCTCCTTCTCTCTCTCAAAAATAAATAAATAAACTTTAAAAAAAAAAACAATAAATGATAAATAACTAGTTTTGTGGACTAGAAATTAGGTTCATCTAAAAAGAGTGATATGGTCACAGGTAAGGTATGTTTAGAGGGGAGTCAAAGGAAATCACATCAGGGGCGCCTGGGTGGCTTAGTCAGTTAAGCGTCTGACTTCGGCTCAGGTCATGATCTCATGGTTCGTGGGTTCGAGCCCCGCATTGGGCTCTGTGCTGACAGCCAGCTCAGAGCCTGGAGCCTGTTTCAGATTCTGTATCTCCCTCTCTCTCTGACCCTCCCCTGCTCTCTCTCTCTCTCAGAAATAAATAAAACATTAAAAAATGTTTTTAAAAAGGAAATCACATCAACTAATACGACAACTTTTTAAAAAGGTATTTCCTCCAAATACTAATGAAAATTATTTGACCTTACATCCATTTCTCTAGTACCCCAAATATGGATATATTTAGTTCAATTCTCTTACTCTTTGCTTGCTCTACTCTTCCTCAGAAACCATATTTATCCTTAAAAGTTTCGTCTATCAGATCCATCCTTCAATTTTTCCTCAATTCTTCTCAACTTTTCAAGTGAGATATAACTGACACATAACACAACTTTAAGATATATAATGTGTTGATCTGAATCACATATTCTGCAATATAATTACCACCGTAATATTAGGTAACACCTCTATCACCTTAGATAATTAACCATTCTTTTAGTAATTTGGGGAGGCGAGAACATTTAAGATCTACCTTAGCAACTTCCCAAGTATATAGTACAGTAGTACTGCTACTTATAATCACAATACTGTTCACTAGATCTCCAGAACGTACTCATTTACCAACTCCAAGTTTGTACTCTTTGACCAGCTTCTCCTCATTCCCCCTAACTCCCAACAGTCCTTCAATTTTACAAATCTAACCCTCCTTCATTCAATTATACAGTACAGGTTTAAGCACCTACACGCCTCAAATTGAGATTATAGTTCCCTAAAAGCTGCTCTAGACTTCTCTAAGAGTTTTAATGACATTTTCTTAGTCATAGTCTGTAGATAGTTCCTTCGTCTCCCATATCCAATAATCAGGCAGTGTTGATTGTTCTTTCTGGTGACTGCCACTGTCCTCAGCATTGCCTTGATTCCATCATCTCTTACTCAGCTACTATAATAGTCTTCTACCTGGATTTCCTGATTTTGGTTTGTTGTTAATTTTTTTTTTTTTAGTTTATTTATTTAATTTTGAGAGAGAGAGAGAGAGAGAGCGTGCGCAAGCATGAGCAGGGTAGGGACAGAAAAGGGGGGAGAGTCTCCCAAGCAGGCTCCACACTGTCAGTGCAGAGCACAAGGTTGGGCTCAAACTCATGAACTGTGAGATCATGACCTGAGCCAAAATCCAGAGTCAGATGCTTAACCAACTGAGCCACCCAGCTGCCCCTGGATTTCCTGCTTTCTACCTCCAATGCTTTTATCTTTTCAATCCATTTTACACACTGCTGTCAGTTATCTTCCTGAAGCACAATTTTTTACATCAATGCCCACCCAAATTACCTCCAATGCTCACTCTTGCCTCAGAATAAAATCTAGATTTTACTATTCAACCTCCTCCACCAACTGGCCTCTGCCTACTCTTTAAGTTGATCTTCCACCAATCCAAATGATATCCAAATAATGACCTATTAATACCACCTACTCTATCTTTTCTCCTCCCGTTTCTCTTAAATGCAAAGGGAAATGTATTTAAAACTAATGCCAAAGAGGAAATGAAAACATGGAAGGGAAAAATGAGAGTAGAGCTAAGTAGTGTGCAGCATCAGCAATACAGAAAGTATACTTGCACAACTATCTTAAATCACAGAGACAGTATTAATAAACATGGTAACAACATAAGAAAAATTGATTTGTCTGGAAAATAGTAAATCATCTATAAATAAGTTTTTAAGAAACAAACAAAAACACCTAGCAAAGTTTAAATCATAAATAAGGTAACAAGAGGGGACAAAAATACCAGTACTAAAGACAATCTCAACAGGGACCTGGAAAAGGTACCCTTTTCTCTTTATCTGGTCGTCCTTATCTAAATCCAGATTTCCAATTCAGCTCCCTTTTCTGTCATTTATACTTGCGTATTTTCATCTGCTTTCTAGAAACCT